AGAGACTCTAAATGAAGCACTAGACCTAATGGATTTAATAGCTATTTATAGGGAATTACACTCCAAAACTACAGAATTCACATTTTTCTCAAGTGCACATGGGACATTCTCAAAGATAGACTACATGTTAGGGCACAAACTAAATCTCTACAAGTTGAAGAAGATTGAAATCATATCAAGCATTTTCTCAGATCACAATGGCATGAAACTAGAAATCAATTGCAACAAGAACATGCAAAGACATTTGAACACATGGAGGCTAAATAGCATGTTATTAAACAATGAATGGGTTACCGAGGAGATCAAGGAAGAAATTAAAAACTTCCTGGAAACAATGAAAATGGACACAACAACACAAAATCTATGGGATGCAGCGAAAGCAGTTCTGAGAGGGAAGTTCATAGCACTACAGGCCTACCTCAAAAAAAAAACAAGAAAAATTTCTAATAGACTATCTAACCTCACAACTTAAAGAACTAGAAAGCAGACAAACAAACAAACAAACAAAATCCAGAGCAAGTAGAAGGAAGGAAATAGTAAAGATCAGAGCAGAAATAAATGACATAGAGACCAAAAAACAATTCAAAGGATCAATGAAACAAAGAGTTGGCTTTTCAAAAAGATAAACAAAATTGATGGACCCTTAGCTAGACTCACCAAGAAACAAAGAGAGAGAACCCAAATACACAAAATCAGAAATGAAAGAGGAGAAGTAACAACTGACACCACAGAAATACAAAAGATCGTTAACAACTACTATGAACTATTATATGGCAACAAATTCGACAATCTAAGTGAAATGGACAAATTTCTAGACACACATAGTCTCCCAAAACTGGACCGGGAAGAGATAGAAAATTTGAACAGACCAGTAACACCTAAGGAAATTGAAGTGGTAATCAAGACTCCCAGCAAACAAAAGCCCAGGCCCGGATGGCTTCATGGGGGAATTTTACTGAACATTCAAAAAGAAACTATAACACCCATTCTCCTCAAACTATTTCAAAAAATTCAAGAAGAAGGAAGACTTCCAAACTTGTTTTATGAGGCCAGCATAATTCTAATTCCAAAACCAGAAAAAGACACTACAAAGAAGAAAACAGCTCTGGCCGGTTTGGCTCAGCAGTTAGAGTGTCAGCCTGTGGTCCAGAGAGACCCGGGTTCAGTTCCCACTAAGGGCACGTATCTTGGTTGCAGTTTGTCCCTGGCCCTGGTTGGGTTGTGCGGGTGGCAACCACTTGATGTGTTCCTTTCACATCAATGTTTCTCTCTCTCTCTCTCTTCCTCTCTCTCCCTCCCACTCTATCTGAACGAAAAATGGAAAAGGTGTCCTTGGGTGAGGATAAAAAAAAAAAACAACTACAGGCCAATATCCCTGATGAACATAGACGCCAAAATCCTGAACAAAATACTAGCAAATCGGATCCAGCAATACATCAAAAAAATTATTCACCATGACCAAGTGGGATTCATCCCAGGGATGCAAGGCTGGTACAATATTCGCAAATCAATAAATGTGATACACCATATAAATAAAATGAAGAATAAAAACCACATGATCATAGCAATAGATGCTGAAAAAGCATTCTACAAAATCCAGCATCCATTTCTGATAAAAACGCTCAGCAATGTGGGAATAGAGGGATCATATCTCGACATAATAAAGGCCGTATATGAAAGACCTACAGCCAACATCATATTCAGTGGGCAGAAACAAAAGCATTTCCCTTAAGAACAGGAACAAGAGAGGGATGCCCACTTTTGCCACTCTTATTTAACATAGTACTGGACGTCTTAGCCACGGCAATCAGACAGTAAGAAAAAATAAACGGGATCCAAATTGGAGAGGAGGAAGTGAAACTGTCATTATTTGCAGATGACATGATATTATACATAGAAAACCCTAAAGACTCCATCAAAAATCTACTAGACTTAATAAATGAATTTGGCAAAGTAGCAGGATACAAAATTAACGTCAAGAAATTGACGGCATTCTTACACACCAATGATGAACTCACAGAAAGAGAAACTGAAAAAACACTCCCATTTACCATTGCGGCAAAAAAGTTAAGATACCTAGGAATAAACTTAACCAAAGAAGTAAAGGACCTATTTGCAGAAAACTACAGGACATTGAAAAAAGAAATAGAGGAAGATATAAAAAAGTGGAAGCACATTCCTTGTTCATAGATTGGAAGAATTAACATCATTAAAATGTCCATACTACCCAATGCAATCCCCATCAAAATACCAATGACATATTTCATAGAACTAGAACAAATACTTCAGAAGTTCATATGGAACCAAAAAAGACCCCGAATAGCCGCAACAATCTTGAAAAAGAAGGACAAAGTAAGTGGGATCACAATACCAGATATCAGGTTATACTACAAAGCTACTGTAATCAAAATAGCCTGGTACGGGCACAAAAACAGGCATATAGACCAGTGGAACAGAACAAAGGACCCAGAAATGGACCCAAGACATTATGCTCAATATTCGACAAAGGAGGCAAGAACATACAATGGAGTAAAGACATCCTCTTTAATAAATGGTGTTGCTCAGTTTTGCTCAGCGGTTAGAGCATCGGCCTGTGGTTCAGAGAGACCCGGGTTCGGTTCCCACTAAGGGCATGTACCTCGGTTGCAGTTTGTCCCTGGCCCTGGTTGGGTTGTGCGGGTAGCAGCCACTTGATGTGTCCCTTTCACGTTGATGTCTCTCTCTCTCTCTCTCTCTCTCTCTCTCTCCCTCCCTCCCTCCCTCCCTCCCTCCCTCCCACTCTATCGGAACAAAAAATGGAAAAATATCTTCAGGTGAAGATAAATAAATAAATAAATAAATGGTGTTGGGAAAATTGGACAGCTACATGCAAAATAATGAAACTAGACCATCAACTCATACCATACACAAAAATAAACTCAAAATGGATAAAAGACTTAAATGTGACCTGTGACTCCATAAAAATTCTAGAAAAAAATGTAGGCAACAAAATTTCGGACATCATACAAAGCAGAATTTTTACTGATAAATCACATAAGGCAACAGAAACAAAGGAACAAATGAACACATGGGACTACATCAAACTCAAAAGCTTCAGCACAGCAAAAGAAATAACCATCAAAATGGAAAGGCTACCTACTGTATGGGAGAGCATAATTGCCAATGATACATCAGATAAGGGGTTAATTTCCAAAATATATAGAGTACTCATACAACTCAACAAAAGGAAGACAAAGAACCCGATTATAAAATGGGCAGAGTTGCTGAATAGACACCTTTCCAAACAGGACATACAAATGGCCAAGAGACATATGAAGAAATGCTCAACATAACTAATCATCAGAGAGATTAAAACAACAGTGAGGTATCACCTCACACCTGTCAGAATGGCTGCCATCAACAAATCATCAAAGAAGTGTTGGTGAGGGTGTGGAGAAAAGGGGACTTTAGTACACTTCTGGTGGGAATGCAGACCGGTGCAGCCACTATGGAAAACACTATGGTGTTACCTCAAAAAATTAAAAATTGAATTCTCATTTGACCCAGTGATCCCACTTCTAGAGATATACCCTAAGAAGCCTGAAACACCAATCAGAAAGAATATATGTACCCCATGTTCATAGCAGCACTATTTACAATAGCCAAGATCTGGAAACAGCCCAAGGTCCATCAGTAGATGAATGGATAACAAAGCTGTGGTACATATACACAATGGAGTACAATGCAGCTGTAAGAAAGAAAGATCTTTTATTCTTTGAGACGACACAGAAGGACCTGGAAAGTATTATCCTAAGCAAAACAAGCCAAGCAAAAACAAATACCACGTGATCTTACTTATTTATGGAATATAATGAACATAATAGTCTGAGGAATAGAGTAGACCCAGAGATGTGGAAGTAGGGTACAGACTGACAACCCTCAGAAGAGGGGGTGGTGGGGGGACAGAAGAGATCAACCACAGAACTTATATGCATGTATGCATCACCAATGGACATGGAAAACAAAGCTGGGGATGGAGTGGGGGGATGGGGAGGAGGGTGTCGATGGGGTAAAAAAGGAGAAACATCTGTAACAAAAAATGAAATAAAATAAATAATGCTAAAAAAAAAAAAAAAAAAAAGAAAGAAAGAACGATTATAAGCAAACAGTTACCCTGATCACAATTGCTTTTTCAAAGTTTATTCTGGACCTGGCTCGTTTGGCTCAGTGGTTAAAGCATCAGCCCGCGGACCAGAGAGTCCCGGGTTCGGTTCCTGCTAAGGGCATGTATCTCGGTTGCAGTTTGGCCCCGTTTGGGATCGTGTGGGTGACAGTCACTCGATGTGTCTCTCTCACATCAATGTTTCTCTCTCTCTTCCTCCCTCTCTCCCTCCCACTCTATCTGAAGATAAATGCAAAAAAAAAGTCCTTTGGTGAGGATAAAAAAAAAAGTAAGTTTGTTCTGGCTGCAATGTACGCTTCCTTATTGCAGTGTACATAAACTTCTTTCTAGCACAGCCAGCATGGCTCAGTGGATTGAGTGTCATCCCATGGACTGAGAGGTACTGGTTCCATTCCTGTCAGGGCACATGCCTGGGTTGTGGGCTTGATCCTCAGTGGGGAGGGGGGGTGCACTCTCACATCGATGTTTCTAACTCTCTCTTCCTCTCTCTCAAAAAATCAGTAAAAACATTTAAAACAAAAAACTTTCTGCCTTTGTGCCTTTCCTTATTTTCTTTACTCCACCCAGAAGGGCTACTGCCCTCTCCTCATACTTACTATCTTTCAGTATCCAGTTGAGGTCCCATTTCTCCTGTAAAATGTTCTCCAGTTATTTTAGAGTCCTTTACTTACTCCCTTCTCTGAAACCCTAGGAATGGTACCACACAGTTTAGTCCTTATTTGTTTCACGTGTGTTTTATGTTCCTAAGCAGATTGTAAGTTCCTTGAGGATAAGGAATGTTTCATATGTATGTGAATAAAAGACATGTTAAACACAAACATATGTTGTTTGGTCTCTTTCTATTTTGTTTTTCAGAGTAGGACCAGATTATGAGCAGCAGTCCTTTAAATTAATTTATCATCATGATGGCTAATGAGGGCTGTCCCAAAGCTGGTGATAGTCCTTTTTCATCAAATAACCATGCCCAACTCATCTTGGCCCAGATCAATAAAATGAGGAATGGACAGCATTTCTGTGATGTGCAGCTACAGGTTGGGAAGGAAACTTTTAAAGTTCATCGGCTGGTTCTGGCTGCCAGTAGTCCTTACTTTGCAGCTTTGTTCACTGGAGGAATGAAAGAGTCCTCAAAAGATGTCATACAGATTCTAGGAATTGAAGCTGGAATATTTCGAATACTTCTAGATTTCATTTACACAGGTATGTTAAGTGAGCCTATAGCTTTAAGTGAAGAATGACGCAATCACTCATGTACTGCTATGGAAATATAAATTGATGTTGCTTATATGGAAAGTAATTCGATAGTTTATTATTATGAGCCTTTGAAATGTTTGTATCTTTTGACCCTGTATTTCTTTTCTAGGAATACTAAGGAAATAGTGATACAGGCAAACATTTATGTACCAGGGTATTTATTGTAACATTATTCATAATAGTATATAATTGATACAATGTAATTGTTTTTTGGTAGGTTATATGCTTAAATAAATTATGGTACATATATAATGGAATGTTTTTTAGTTCTCATAAATGATTTAAATATATATTCTCATGGAAGAATGTTTGTAATAAATAAAGAAAATCTGGATATAAATACCGACTCTTTTATTCTCACTGGAGGACATGTTTCCATTTTTGTTCAGATAGAGTGGGAGGGAGAGAGAGGAAGAGAGAGAGAGAGCAACATCGATGTGAAAGGGACACATCGAGTGGCTGCCTCCCACACGACCCCAACTAGGCCTGGGGACAAACTGCAACCAAGGCATGTGCCCTTGACCAGAATCGAACCTGCAACTCATTGGTCCGCAGGTTGACGCTCCAACCGCTGAGCCAAACCGGCCAGGGCCAACTCATTTTTGTTTAAAAAAAATAATTGGTGTGTATTTGTGCATAAGAAAAAGACCAAGCTCTGGCCGGTTTGGCTCAGCGGTTAGAGCGTCGGCCTGTGGTCCGGAGAGACCCGGGTTCAGTTCCCACTAAGGGCATGTATCTCGGTTGCAGTTTGTCCCCGGCCCTGGTTGGTCGTGCGGGTGGCAGCCACTCGATGTGTCCCTTCACGTCGATGTTTCTCTCACTCTCTCTCTCTTTCCTCTCTCTCCCTCCCACTCTATCTGTACAAAAAATGGAAAAATATCCTCGGGTGAGGATAAAAAAAGAAAAAGACCAGAATATTGGTGTTTACCTCTAGATGATGGAATATGGAAGATTTTTATTTTTCTCTTTTTTTTTTGTTTTTCCCTGAAAATAGTACAATCAACATATATGATTTTAATCAAAACTTTTACTTTTAAAATATTTTAGAAGAGTTTTGATGATATTAGGAAATCCACGTAAAAACTATAAAGTTTTGCCCTGGCCAGTTTGGCTCAGCGGTTAGAGCGTCAGCCTGCGGTTCAAGACAGACCCGGGTTCGGTTCCCACTAAGGGTGCATACCTTGGTTGCAGTTTGTCCCTGGCCCTGGTTGGGTTGTGTGGGGGTGGCAGGCACTCGATATGTCCCTTTCACGTCAATGTTTCTCTCTCTCTCTGTTCCTCTCTCTCCCTCCCACTGAACAACAACAACAACAAAATGGAAAAATGTCCTCAGGTGAGGATAAAAAATAAAAAAAAAAACTACAAAGTTTTAATCTTATGTAATATGTAACATAAATAAATATACATGGAAAGAAGGTTTGAAAGAAATATAACAAAGTGTTAATAGTGTATGTATATGGGGAAGTGTGTGATTTTAATATTTTTATACTTTTCTGTCTTAAAGTTTTTTTCTGTAGTGAATACATATTACTCTTATAATCAAGAAAAAAAGTTTGAAAACAAAGACTGTCTGGTCTAATTTTGAGAATACACCATGCTCTCCTTAAAGGAGATAATTATGTGGCCTGATAAAGTGTTACTTATTTAATGCATCATGTTTAAACCTGGAAAATAACAAAAGGTAATTTTTCTTTGTGTTGTTTTATATTTCTTTTTGGAAATTTTCAGAAAGTAACTCTTAATTGGAGGATTGTAAAAATGACTCTTTTATCTACTGAAAACAATGCAGCTCTGCCTGTTGGCTAATGTACAAATTAACATTGAGAGGTTCTTAATCTCACTTTTCTACTTCATAAATACCTCTGCTCATATTTGCAAGGTAGAAATTAACAAAGATTAATCCAATGGAATTAGTGTTGAGTTATATAAAAACGGAGAAATGCCACAAACTGTCTACTCCACCTCTGTTATCTGATAGTAGCAAGAAGAGATACTTAGTGAAAGAAAATGTTCATGGCATTATTGCCATATTGCTAGAGATTAGCACTCCATCAAAGAAATAAAAAGTGGCCCTGCCCAGCCAGTGTGGCTTAGTGGCAAGAGGTCACTGGTTCGAACACACCCAGGTTGTGGGCCCAATCCCCAGTTGGGGCATGCAGGAGGCAGCTAGTCTATGTTCTCTCTCATTAATGTTTCTGTCTCTCCCTCTCCCTTTCTCTCTCTCTAAAAATCAATAAAGAAAAAAAAACTTTTTTTTAAAGTGTCCCCACCCTTATGGCTCAGTGGTTGAGCATCAACCCATGCACTAACTGAGTCATTCATTCATTTAAAACAAAATTTTTGAGCACCTAATGTGGGCTAGACATTGGGAATACAGAAGGGGCAATCCTTGCCCCAGCAGACTTTATAAATCTAATTGTAAATACAAATTTTAGGCCAATAGTTAAGTGGAGTGAATGGGAATAAAAGGGATAAAAGGAAAGTAAAAAATTGGATGGGGAGCTTATCCTTATTAGGAATAAGAATTATAGTGGTGGGGTTTTTTTTCCCTTTAAAATATAATTGACTATTTGATGTCCTCCCAAAATCACTATATGAAAGTGAAGCCTTCTGGAAAGAGAATGGTATATAGTTACTTAAAAGTTAACTATTAATAGCTTCTCATATGTTGCAGATTCTTGGTTATACCTAATATTAAAATTAACATTTGTATGGCACTTTATCATAATTGGAGATAGAGACCCTGTCTTATCTTCCCCAGTGCCTAAGTAAATGTTAGATGCACATAGCCTTATGTTAAAAACATGGACTTTGGTGTTAATCCCTATCCTCAACTCACTTAAGCATGTGACTTGATAACAAGTTACTTAAACTTTCTGATTCTGCTTTCTTAATACCAAAAAAAAAAAAAAACCTGGCCCATGTGGCTCAGTGGTTGAGTATCAACCCATGCACCAAGAGGTCGCCGGTTCAATTCCCAGTCAGGGCATATGCCCAAGTTGTGGGCCTGATCCTCAACTGGGGGCATGCAGGAGCCTGCCATTCGATGTTCTCTCTCATCGATGTTTCTATCTCTCCTACCCCCTTCCTCTCTCTAACATCAATAAAGACAAACCCGAACCAAAAAACAAAATACACACCAAAAAAACACTATATGGAGTTGTAATCAGGGTTAAATGAATGTATAAAGCAATTAATGCTGTGTCTGTTTCACTGTAAATGTTCCATAAATATGTGTTTTTATCATTTAAGTTTTGTGCTCTTTACACAAATCCTTTGTTGCTTTTTTATTTAGCTATTAGTGGAATCAAATATAATGCTTTTTGAATATAAGTCAAATGTTTGTTTTTATTTTACTATACTGGTGATTTTGTCTCTCTGTTTTCCTAGGCATAGTGAACATAAGTGTGAATAATGTCCAGGAGTTGATTGTTGCTGCAGACATGCTACAATTGACTGAAGTTGTTAATATTTGTTGTGAATTTCTGAAAGGACAAATTGATCCACTGAACTGCATTGGGATCTTTCAGTTCTCTGAGCAAATTGCCTGCCATGACCTTTTGGAATTCACAGAAAACTACATTCACGTCCATTTCTTGGAGGTTCAGAGTGGGGAAGAGTTCCTGGCACTTACAAAAGATCAGTTGATCAAAATTTTGCGAAGTGAAGAGCTTAGCATTGAGGATGAATACCAGGTCTTCTTAGCTGCAATGCAATGGATTCTCAAAGATCTGGGAAAAAGAAAAAAATATGTGGTGGAAGTGCTAGACCCAATTCGATTTCCTTTATTACCTCCTCAGAGGCTTTTAAAGTATATAGAAGGTAATTTTTTGTTGCATATCAAACTAGTCAATTAATTACCAGTGGCTTATCCTCTGTTTGAATTGTGATAGTGTTTTTATTTTTCAGTTCAATAGCAGACATTTATTGAACAATTACTGTATGCAAGATACAGACTTTTGTTTTTGTGGATAGACCATAGTATCTTCATATTTCTACCTTTATTTTAACAAAATCCTATTTACCTTTCTTTTTTTTTAAATCCTCACCCGAGGACACTTTTGCATTTATCTTCAGATAGAGCGGCAGGGAGAGAGGGAGGATGAGAGAAACATCGGTGTGAGAGACATATCTACTGGTTGCCATCTGCATTACCCCAACTGGGGCCGGGGCCTAACCACAAGGAGGTACGTGCCCTTAGCGGGAACCGAACCCGGGACTCTCTGGTCCATGGGTCAATGCTTCAACCTCTGAGCCAAACCAGCCAGGGCCTATTTACCTTTCTTGAGATTAAATACCAATGGAGATGAGAGTTATAGATAGAATTACTGACTGAGCTGAAATACTGCTGTTTTTGGCAATACTAATTATTTCAGTGTAAGATTTCCTCTTGCCACTTTTTAAAAGTCAGCATAACCTAACATTTGAGGAAAATGCATATTCTAAAAACAAAAACAAAACTCAATAAATTCTGCAAGTCCTCTCATTATAAAGAAAATTAAATATTGATATGATATCCTAGCTCTTAAGTAACCTTTGAATCATCTTTATGTTTTAAACTTTGAAAATACTTTTCAACCATAGTATAAATTAGTTTTTATCTTTATATTAGAAAAATGATAATATTTAAATTTATTTTTTAAACTACTTTAGACCTGGTTTCAAGATTTGAAGTTTTTACTTTTGTCCTGCACTGAAACTTTAGGATGTGACTGAATTATAAATGATCTTATTGATTAAATATACTATTAGAATGAAAGGTATAATTTTGTGAAGTAACTATATTTAATTTGGATTTTTATTTTCTTCTCCACTGTAACTTAACAATGTTAACAGGATTTTGTAGGTTTTCTGAGTGATATCTTGTTTTAATTTATGTATAATCAATTCTTGTTATCATATTCTATAAAGTTGCCACGAACACTGAATTGGCAAATACTAAACAGTTGTTCCTAGGGAAAATATGGGGTAAATTATTTTGTTTGTTTGTTTGTTAATCCTCACCTGAGGATACTTTTCCATTGGTTTTCAAATAGAGTGGAAGGAAGGGAGGGAGAGAGAAACATCACTGTGAGAGAGACACATCCATTGGTGCCTTGACCAGAATGGAACCTGCAACCTTTTGGTCCCTGGGCCGATGTTCTAAGTGTGAGCCAAACTGACCAGGGCTCACCAAGTACTGTTTTCAAGAAAGGCTCATGATTATTGTATTTCCTGAATTCTTTTCATATTTGAGAATTTCTGCCTGATGTTTTATTAGTTTAACAGCAGTTCGCATGGGCATAATATTCTTTTTGTTGTTGTTGTTCATTCTCACCCAAGAATATTTTTTTCCATGGATTTTTAGAGAGAGTGGAAAGGAGGGAGGAAGGGGGCAAGAAGGAGAAAGAGAAGCATTGGTGTGAGAGACACATTGATTGACCCCCTCCCAGAGGTGCCCAACCAGGGTGGGGATCAAGCCTGCAACCCAGGTATGTGCCCCTGACTGGGAACCAAACCTGTGACCCTTAGTTGCTTGGGCCGATGCTCTTAATCACTGAGCCACACCAACCAGGACAAGATTCTTAAGTTATAATGATACTCCTCCCTGTTCCCCCTCAAACTTTGTAAGGCATAGTTTGTTTTTTTTAAATGCCTGTCTTTTTCTGCTTGGATGCCTAAAGAATTCTCTTTCATTACTCTTTTTTCTTTTTCTCCAAAAGATTTATTTGTGTCAATTCATATAAATGATTAACACCCAGACGTACTTTTGAACTATGAAAAGTGTCTCATAGTTTTAAAACCCAGCTCTCCTTACATTTTTTTAAGGGAAGTTCCCTATTTTATTTATTTATCCTCACCCAAGGATATGTTTTTATTGATTTTAGAGAGAGAGGAAGAGGGGGATAGACAGAGAGAGAGAGAGAGAGAAACAACATCGATCAGTTGCATCCTATATGCAACCGGCAATCTTTGGTGTACAGGATGAAGCTCCAACCAACTGAGCCACCCTGCCAGGGCTCTCCTTGCTTATTTATTAATTAGTAATAACTGATTAATTATTTCAGGAAGAAGTATAAAGCTAAATATAGTTTCTGAAATATGCTAAAATTAGTAGGAAATGATAATGGCATTTTATTTTTTTCATTCTTAATTTGTATGTTTGTCTTTTTTTTTCCCTCACCCGAGGACATTTTTCTATTTCTTGTTCAGGTAGAGTGGGAGGGAGAGAGAGAAACATCGACGTGAAAGGGACACATCGAGTGGCTGCCACCCACGCCAACCAGGGCCAGGGATGAACTGCAACTGAGGTACGCGCCCTTAGCGGGAACCGAACCCGGGTCTCTTCGGACCGCAGGCCAATGCTCTAACCGCTGAGCCAAACTGGCCAGGGCTAAAAGTTTGTCATTTTTCATATGACTATATCATACACCCTTTCCTTTTAAAGGTTCAATTTTAATTTCATTTAAAGAAAATTTTTGTGTATGAAATTTCTGAATACTTTTAATTTTTTATTTCAGAGTTTTCATCTTTTTTTTTTTTTTTTATCCTCATTCGAGGACATTTTTCCATTTTTTGGTTCAGATAGAGTGGGAGGGAGAGGAAGAGAGAGAGAGAGAGAAACATCGACGTGAAAGGGACAATCGGGTGGCTGCCACCCGCACGACCCAACCAGGGCTGGGGACAAACCACAACCAAGGTACACGCCCTTAGCGGAACCGAACCTGGGTCTCTCTGGACCGCAGGCCGATGCTTTAACTGCTGAGCCAAACCAGCCAGGGCAGTTTTTATCCTTTTATTGAAACTTCTTTGTCTTTTATATTTATCATCTTCTAATGTTAAAATATTTGTCTTGCCCTGGCCGGTTTGGCTCACCGGTTAGAGGATCTGCCTATGGTCCCGAGAGACCCCAGTTCGGTTCCCGCTAAGGGCTTGTACCTCGGTTGGAGTTTGTCCCTGGCCCTTGTTGGGTTCTGCGGGTGGTAGCCACTCCTTGTGTCCCTTTCATGTCGATGTTTCTCTGTCTCTCTCTCTCTCTTTCTCTCTCCCCCTCCCACTCTATCTGAACAAAAAAATGGAAAAATGTCCTCAGGTAAGGATAGAAAAAAATAAAATATTTTGTCTTTTGCCACATTCACAGTTGATTTCTCAAGTCTTCACTCAAAATTGCTGATATGATTTTTAGTCATATCTATTGTGTTTCTTGTTTCTAATTTATTAAATCTGCAATACTGTTATTTCAGTTCTCAACTTTGTTTCCTTATCAATGCATCTCATTCTGTCCTAGAGCTCTTTTTTGTAGGATCTGTATTTTTTTATTTTTTCTGTCATCATTTATCTCCCAATACCCTCTTCCATCTCCACCCCCACCCCCACCCCCACCGTCACCACATTGTTGTCTGTGTCCATGAGTTCTTTCTCTCTCTTTTTTCTTCTTTTTCCGGTATTGGCTCAGTCCTTCCACAGGATCTGTATTCTTAATAATTCTATCCTGTGAAACATTTATGGGGAAGTCTGTTTCCATTTGTGGCTGTTTTCTTCCAGACAAAATTCTTCAATCTCTTTCTCTTTTTTTTCCTGGGATATATTTTAATAACTGTATTGCTATTCTTTGATATATTGCTCATGCTTAACTTGAGCAACTCCATGCAAACCTGTTTGCCCTAATAATGTAAGAACTAATTCTTCTTGACACCCTTTCTACCTTAGTTTAGCTACTATGTTTCTCCTATATAAAATTTGAGAGCTTTGTGTTCTGTTCTCACCATTTCTTTGTAGCCTGAGGCATAAGGGTGATGGAAGAATAGAGGTTTGTTAAGGCTGAGGTCCTTCCTTAGGGACCTAGGCTCTGAGCTCTTTCTTATGAGATCCTAATACGATTTTGTTTCAGGGCCTACTTAACTCAGCCAAGGATGTGTCTCACATAGACTTTGGCTAGCAACATGCTCTCTTAGATGGCAAACCCTGGTGACCCTCTCTGCCTTTACTGATGGTCCTCTAAGGAATTTTCCTTTTAATGGTTTTGTTCTTTGACTTCTCAGTTTGGCTCAATCAACCTCTCCCCAAATTATTAGTTATTAGTAAGAATTCTTAAGATTTTTGTTAGTTGACCTTCTTTCCTGAGTACTGCTTCTAGGATGTAGGGACAAGCCTTGGGACAGTCTCTTGTTAGCATATATGTTAGCCTTTGTGCAAATTTGAAAATAGTGCTCTTTTAGGGTATATTAGAGCTTGCCAAGTGGGATACAGGTTAATTTTCATCCCCAATTCACCTCCTCAGCTAAGCACCATTGAGCAGGAAAAACCTATGCAATCATACTCAAAGTCTTTCTAGGAGATGGATTTCATCCCAACACATCTGTTGTTTCTTGCTTTCACTATCATTTTTTTAAGTTTATGACATAGTTTTATATCCTTTTGTCATTAGGTTCTGTGTATAGAACTTTGGGCTACTTTCTTTATTTTTTCATTTTGTTAGATAATTGTAAGTCTTTTTTCACCTTGCCATCTTTATGTAGATATCCTCATACATGCATTTTCAAATTGCCCATTATGAAGCATTTAGAAAATTTTTATTTATTGATTTTAGAGAGCGGAAGGAAGGGAGAGAGAGAAAAAGAGAAAGAAACATCGATTTGTGCCCTGGCTGGTGTGGCTCAATTGGTTGAGCATTGTCCCATGCACTGATGGTCACTGGTTCGATTCCCAGTCAGGGCACATGTCCAGGTTGTAGGTTCAATACCCAGTTGGAGCGCATATGGGAGGCAACCAATCAATGTTTCTCTCTCACATTTATGTTTCTTGTTCTCTTTCTCTCTCTCTGTCTCTTTCTCGCTCCCTCTCCCTTCCTCTCTCTCTAAAATATCAATAAAAACATTTTAAAAATAAAAAGAGCTCGGCTGATGTGGCTCAATAGTTGAGTGTCGACCCATGCACCCAGAGGTTGCTGGTTCGATTCCCAGTCAGGGCACATGCCCAGGTTGTGGGCCCGATCCCCAGTTGGGGGCATGCAGGAGGCAGCCAATCAATGTTCTCTCTCATTGTTTCTTTTTTTTTCTTTTTTAATCCTCACCCAAGGATATTTTTATATTTATTCTCAGACATAGTGGGAAGGAGGGAGAGTGAGAGAGAAAGAAAGAGAAACATTGATGTGAGAGAAATACATCAATTGGTTGCCACCCACATGACCCCAACTGGGGCCAGGGATGAACCGCAACCGACATACGTGCCCTTGGCTGGAATCGAACCCAAGACCCTGGTCTGTGGGCTGACACTCTAACCGCTGAGCCAAACTACCAGGGATCATCCAAGTTACTCTCTCTCTCCCTCTCCCCTTCACTCCCTCTGAAAATCAATAAAGAAAAAGAAACATCAATTTGTTGTTCCACTTATTTATGCATTCATTGGTTGATTCTTGTATGTGCCCTGATGGGGCATAGAAACCCCAACCTTGGCCTGCTCAGTATGGCTCTGTTGGTTGGGCATTGTCCCGTGCACCAGAATGTTACCAGTTTGATTCCTGGTCAGGATACATGCCCAGGTTATGGGCTTGATTCCCTGTAAGGGACGTGCAGGAGATAGCTCATTGATGTTATGCTCTCACATTGATGTTTCTCTCCCTCTCCCTTCCTCTCTCTATAAATCAATTAAAATATTTTTTTTAAAGAAAGAGCCCACATCCTTGGTGTATTGGGATGATGCTCTAACCAACTGAGCTACCTGGCCAGAGCCATGAAGCATATTTTTAAAAACAATCTTTGATTTAAGGAAAGTCTACTTTTTAGTAGCAATGAAAAAATAATACTTGGTATTGTAGGAAACGAACACCATTGTTTAATCAGTGTTTATTTTTTTATTGTTAAATGTGTTTTATCTTCATGTAAGCATGTCTTTTCAATGTTATCTAAACATTGCTTTAGGAGTATCTGATTTTAATCTTCGTGTTGCATTGCAAACACTTTTGAAAGAGTACTGTGAGGTATGCAAATCTCCCAAAGAGAACAAGTTTTGTAGTTTTCTGCAGACATCTAAGGTTCGACCTCGGAAGAAAGCAAGAAAGTACCTGTATGCAGTAGGTGAGAACCTTTTATTTATTTACATATTTTTCTTTCTTTTCTTTTATTAGAGTGACATTGGTTAATCAAATTATATAGGTTTCAGGTGTACAGTTCTATAATCATAGGTGAGAGCCTTTATTTATATACTTATTTATTTGTTAATCCTCACCCAAGGATTTTTTTCCATTGATTTTTAAGGAGAGTGAAAGAGGGAGGGAAGGAGAGAGGGGGAGAGAGAAACATCGATGTGAGAGAGAAAAACCAATTGGTTGCCGCCCACATGACCCCAAACAGGACCAGGGATCAAACCTGCAACCCAGATACATGCCCTTGACCAGAATGGAACCCTTGACCCTTCAGTCCAAGGACTGACGCTCTTAAGAGGTGAGCCAAACTGGCCAGGGCATAGGTGAGAATCTTTTAAAAAGTAACAGAAATTATTTTTATTTTCAGGGTCAAAACTTTTTAATATTTTGTTGTACATGTCAGAATATTCAGTTGTGTCAAATAAACATTTAATTTTGCATAAAAGCTACAGATTTATAAATTGTGGTTATGTAATACAGTGAACACATCTAAAAATAAAATAGCTGCTCCTTTGACATCTATTATTCTGTGATCTAAGTATTTGGGTTCTTAGATTGTTCAATTATTGTCAATAGCTGACTAAAGAAATATTACTTTAAAAATTGCAAATTTGAAGTCTAGTGAAAAATAAGGAAAATAAACTTCAAAAATATTAACTGTTCACAGTGTCTTAGATGGTCATTAGGGATGATAGGAACCAGTGGTCTCCAAAGTGTGGGTGTGCAGGATAATCCATAGACATATCAGATGATCATATTAAAATCTCTTCGTTTTTATTCTTAATTGTTTTTTTATTCCTCATCCAAGGATATTTTTCCATTTATCAGTAGATAGAGTGGGAAGGAGGGAGAAAGACAGAGAGAAACATTGATGTGATAGAGCCACATCGACTGGTTGCCTCCTGTACGACCCGACCAGGGCCGGGACGAACCGCAACTGAGGTACGTGCCCTTGATCAAAACTGAACCCAGGACTCTTTGGTCTGCCGGCCGATGCTCTAACTGCTAAATCAAACTGCCTGGGGTTCTTTGTTTTTATTTTTAAAAAGCATTAAACAGCCCTGGCTGGTTTGGCTCGGTGGTTAGAGTGTCAGCCTGAGGTCCAGAGAGCCGGGTTCGGTTCCCGCTAACGGCGCGTACTCGGTTGCAGTTTGTCCCCGGCCCTGGTTGGTTGTGTGGTGGCAGCCACTTGATGTGTCCCTTTCGCGTCAATGTTTCCCTCTCTCTCTCTTCCTCTCTCTCCCTCCCACTCTATCTGAACAAAAAATGGAAAAATGTCCTTGGGTGAGAATAAAAGAAAAAGCATTAAACAAATATTTTATATATTTATATTAACAGATCATTTTGACTTATATAGATGATATAATTTATATATAAATGATTTCTGTATAATTTTATATGTATGTAATTATATGTATAATTTTATGTATGCTGTGATATATATAATTTTTGAGTGCATGCTAAACTTTTTTTTTCCTTTATTGATGTTAGAAACAGAGAGGAAGGGAGAGAGAGAGAGAGAAACATCGATGAGAGAGAGCATCGGTTGGCCGCCTCCTGCATGCCCTTCACTGGGAATCAGCCCACAAACTGGGCATGTGCCCTGACTGTGAATTGAACCAGAGACCTCTTGGTGCATGGGTCGATGCTCAACCACTGAGCCACACTGGCCGGGCCATGCTAAACTTTTTAAATGATGAGATGTGCAGTTAAACCAGAATTTCAACTCACTATTTTTAATTGAAAGGGACACTAATAGAAGTTGTAATGAAACTTTTTAACTAGACAGATAACCACCTCCTAGATTTATGTTTTATCAAATATTCTATTATAACCAAGACCAGATAGTAGAACACTGGTTAACTCATTTTATTTAAGCCATAATCTTTCAGGACTTACCACACTTAAGAATAATATCTGTATATATGGCAGGCTCTAAAGCATTTATTCCTTGCTGTGGAATAATTATACCAAATCTCTAGATGTAGAAGGCTAGATTTTTCTCCTTACTACCATTTCCGTATTTAGCGGTGAGGGATTTGCTGTGTTCTTCCTTTCCTTCCTTTGTTCAGGTGGATATACTCGGTTGCAGGGGGGTCGTTGGAGTGATAGCAGAGCACTCAGCTGTGTAGAACGTTTTGACACCTTTAGCCAGTACTGGACCACTGTATCTTCGCTTCATCAAGCTCGATGTGGGCTAGGAGTAGCAGTTCTGGGAGGGATGGTCTACGCTATTGGAGGTAATGAGGAAATAGTCTTATTTTCCTTATTTATTCTCTAGCTATAAGTTGGCTGAATTCTTATATGCTTTATATATATTATGAGGTGCTATGGGGTATACATAGATACTGTTGTGCATAATAAATATTTATTGAATAAATGAGTAAAAGAAAGAAAAAGGAAACAAGATATTGAATATTTCAGAATAGAGGGATACTGTGACTTATCACAAGGCAGAATACTTAAGTTTTTCTTTAAAATTGATTTTTAGAGAGAGAAAGGGAAACATGGATTTGTTGTTTCACTTATTGATGCTTTGATTGGTTGATCCTTATATATGCCCTGACCAAGGATCAAACTCATAATGTTGGCATATTGGGACCACACTCTAACCAACTGAGCTAACCGGGCCAGGACCTTAGATTTGGTTTGAATGAAAAGTTGTTCATAAAATGTGACACTAAAATTTAGGTTGACATTTATGATAGAAAATTTTAGATTATAAAAGCTGCATTACAAATCATTTTTAATTAACCAAGTTATCTGGACATTGAGATATATATAAAACAAGTCCACTAGACCTTAGGATTATTTCTTTTTTTTTATCCTCACCTGAGGACATTTTTGCATTTATCTTCAGGTAGAGCAGGAGGGAGAGAGGGAGGAAGAGAGAGAGAGAAACATCAATGTGAGAGAGACACATTGAGTGGTTGCCACCCACACGACCCCAACCGGGGCCTGGGACAAACCACAACCGAGGTACGTGCCCTTAGCGGGAACCGAACCCAGGATGCTTTAACCGCTGAGTCAAACTGGCCAGGGCAGGGATATATTTCTTGATTGAAATCATTGTGTTTTCTGAAACTATTATTGTGAATTATCAAAAGATTAATGAATAAAATTAAAGGAAATTTGAATATTGGAGGGAAATAATCAGAGAAGGATCTAAAGAGAAGTAAATACTAACACTTTTGTTTTAGTTAATTTTAAATAGAAAGGAAAGGAGAGAAAGCGAAACATTGATTTGTTTTTCCACTTATTTATGCATTCATTGGTTGATTCTTTTATGTGCCCTGACTGGGGATTGAACCGGCAACCTTGGCCTAGCGGGATGATGTTCTAACCAACTGAGCTACTGGCTAGGGCTAATACTAACACTTTTAGTATCAATATTTACCTCTGGATAATTTTTCTTTTTAAAAATATTTGTATTGATTTTTTTTTTTTTGATGGAGAGAGAGAAACATCAATGAGAGAACATTAATCAGCTGCTTCCTGCATGCCCCCTTATGGGGGTCAAGCCTGCATCCGGGGCCTATGCCCTGACCAGGAATTGAACCAGTGACCTCTTGGTACATGGGACAATGCTCAATCCACTGAGCCACACCGGCTGGGCTGGATAATTTGTCTTTATAGCAACAGGCTGAGTTAGATCATCTCTAACCCTTACAGCTAATCTTTTTGCTTTATTTCTATGGGTATTCTAAAACACTACAAGTTATATATCAAAGTTTTTATTATCTTTTGACTATGATACTGTCAGTTTAAAATAAGAGAGCTGTAAGGGAATATTTTTTAAATTTATTTTTTGGAGAGAACATAATTGTCATTCTAAAACTTCATTAAATCAATAAATATCATGGTGCATCTGAAAATCCCGAAAAAGAAATGAGAGTTTTGCCTGGCTGGTGTGGCCCATTGACCCATGCACCAAGAGGTCACAGGTTCGATACCCGGTCAGGGCACATGCCCAGGTTGTGGGCCCGATTCCCAGTGGGGGGTATGCAGGAGGTGACCAATCGATGTTCTCTCTCATCAATGTTTCTATCTCCCTCTCCCTTCCTCTCTCTCTAAAAAGAAATGAGAATTTTAAGCAATAACTTTGTCAACATAAGGACTGTAACTTTTTTTTTTTCTTTATTGACTTTAGAGAGAGAGGAAGGGAGAGGGAGAGAGAGATAGAAACATAGATGAGAGAGAATGTTGATTGGCCGCCTCATGCATGCCCCCCACTGGGAATTTGGCCCACAACCTGGGCATGGGCCCTGACCGGGAATCAAACCAGGACCTCTCAGTCCATGGGATGATACTCAGTCAATTGAGCCGCACCGGCTGGGCTCTAAATACTATTTTTTAATTAACATATAATTCACATACCATAAAATTCATCATTTTGAGTATACAGTTCTGTGGTTTTTAGTATGTTCACAGAGCTGTACACCACTAATTCCAGAACATTTTCATCATTGCAAAAAGTCAATGGGAAATTTTATGTCAGTGTAGGGAACTGTTTACTAGTCATGTTCTCAGACTCCAACTAAAGGTCAACCTTGTAAAGCAAGCCTTTCTAACAATAGGCAGTCTCAGGCGTGCTATGTTAATTCTTTTGTGCACAGTAGGAGTTTTGTATACATTCAGAATTCTAAGCCCTCATAAAATTACATGTGCTGCAAATATCTTTTCTACTCTGCTGCTTCACTTTTCACTGTTTCTATGCTATCATTTTTTTTTAATCCTCACCCAAGGATATGTTTGGTTTTTTTTAATCCTCACCCGAGGATATTTTTTCTTCTTATCTTCAGACAGAGTGGGAAGGAGAGGCAGGGAGAGAAAGGGAGAGAGAAACATTGACATGAGCCCTGGCCAGTTTGGCTCAACGGTTAGAGCGTCGGCCTGCAGTCCGGAGAAACATTGACATGAGAGGGACACATCGACTGGTTGCCTCCTGCACAGCCCAGACTAGAGCCGGGGACAAACTGCAACTAAGGTACGTGCCCTTGGCCGGAATCGAACCCGAGACTCATTAGTCCTCCGGCTGACGCTCTACCGCTGAGCCAAACGGACCAGGACCGAGGATATGTTTTTAATTATTTTAGAGGAGTGGAGGGCAGAGAGAGAAACATTAATGTATGAGAGAAACATGGATTGGCTGCTTCCCATTCTCAATCTCACCGGGGATCAAACCCATGTGCTCTGACCAGGAATTGAACTAGCAGCTTTTCAGTGCATGGATGATGCTCCAACCCACTGAGCCACACTGGCTAGGGCTTTTTATGGTATTTTTGGATAAACAAATAACCTTAATTTTAATGTAGCCAACTCTATTATTTTTTTTCCCTTTCTGGTCAGTGTTTCTTGCTTTATTATTATAGCTCTATTTTTTTTTTTTATCCTCACCCGAGGACATTTATCCATTTTTTGTTCAGATAGAGTAGGAGGGAGAGAGAGAAACATCGACGTGAAAGGAACACATCAAGTGGCTGCCACCCACACAACCCAACCAGAGCTGGGGACAAACTGCAACCGATGTACATGCCCTCAGCGGGAACCAAACCCGGGTCTCTCCGGACCGCAGGCCGATGCTCTAACTGCTGAGCCAAACTGGCCAGGGCATAGTTTCTCATTCTTTTCTGGAAGTACTTGGCTAATCTAGGCCCTTTGTACTTCCCATGTAAATTTTAATATCAGTTCGTTTTTAAAATAATACTTTATGATTCCACTTATATGAAGTACTTAGTCAAAATCATAAAGACAATGTATTACGGTGATTGCCAGGGTTTGGGGGAGAGGAAAATAGGGAGTTTTTGTTTAATAGGTAGAGAATTTCTGTTTGACAAGATTAAAAGAATTATGGGATGGGAGGTTGTGATGGTTGCACCACAATGTGAATGTATTTAACATTACTGAACTAGACACTTAAAATAGTTAAGATAGTAAATTTTATGTTGTGTTAAGTGTAACATAATTAAAAAAAAGTTTTTAAAAAATTATGATACTCCCTGTCTGACAATCTCAGTGGTTAGAGTATTGGCCTAACCACCGGAGGGTTGTGGTTTCAATTCCTGGTCAAGGGCATGTACCTGGGTTTCAGGTTCGATCTCCGGCCCCTGTCGTGGCATGTGCAGGAGGCAACCAGTCTCGATGGGTCTCTCACCTCAGTTTTTCTCTCTCTCTCCCCTCTCTCTTCCCCCCGCCCTCCTCCCTTTCACTCTCTCTAAAACAATTGGTTTTTTTTGTTGTTTTTTCTTTACCGATTTTAGAGAGAGAGGAAATGTGAGGGAGAGAGAGATAGAGACATCAATGAGAGAATATCGACTGGCTGCCTCCTGCATGCCCCCACTGGGCATCAGGCCCACAACCTGGGCATGTGTCCTGACTGGGAATTGAACTAGCTACCTTTTGGTGCATTGGGTGATGCTCAACCACTGAGCCACACAGGCCGGACAAAAACATTTTTTTAATTAAAAAAAAAGTTGGTGCCTGGCCAGTTTGGCTCAGCGGTTGGAGCGTCAGCCTGTGGACCAGAGAGTCCCAGGTTTGGTTCCCACTAAGGGCACCTACTTTGGTTGCAGTTTGTCCCCGCCCCGTTGGGGTCATGTGGATGGCAACCACCTGATGTGTCTCTCTCACATCACTGTTTCTCTCTCTCTCTTCCCCCCTTCTCTCCTGCTCTATCTGAAGATAAATGCAAAAATGTCCTCTGGTGAGGATAAAAAAAAAAGTTGGGATTATATTATATGTATAAATCAGTTTGGGGATAATTATCCTTACATTGACTCTTCTAATTCATGAACATGCTACATCTCTTCACTTATTTAAATATTCCTTAATTAAAAGTTTTATTTAAGTAAAGTTTATAAAATGTAACCATAGAGAGCTGTACAATCTTTAATTAGATTTACTCCTAGGTATAGCATATTTTTAAAAATATCTTTTTGTTGTTGTTGTTAATCCTCACCTTAGGATATTTTTCCATTGATTTTTTTTTTTTTTAAGTTAGTGTGGAAGGGAGGGCCCTAGGGGGGGAGAGAGAGAGAGAGAGAGACATTGATGTAAGAAAGACACATCGATCAGTTGCCTCCCTCATGACTGCAACCAAGGCTCAAACATACAACCCAGGTATGTGCCCTTGACCAGGAATTGAACCTGAAACCCTTTGGTCCGAGGGCCATCACTCTAACCATTGAGCCAAAACGGCAAGGGCTTAAGTAATATCTTTTTTAAATTTTTGTTTTCTGTTTGTTGCTAGATAAGGATTACATTAAAACTCAAATTTTACAAGTGTCAAAATGCAAATTTCATGGATTGTTTGGGTGATAGAATTAGAAACAGATAATAGGAAAATTGTGTCGTTACTTCATTAAATGGACTTTACTAAATGATCGTGCTACAATTTCAAAATAACACTTGCTGGGCAAATGAATTTTAATAAATAGTATAAAATCAGACATAATAGTTGAATTTCTAACTACATGGAATGCTAATGATAGTGATGGTTCTAGGCTATTAGCATTTCTAAACCTCCTCATATGTCTCTTTTTTTTTAAATCAGGTGAAAAAGATTCAATGATTTTTGACTGCACTGAATGCTATGATCCAGTTACGAAACAGTGGACAACTGTAGCTTCAATGAATTACCCACGCTGTGGCTTGGGAGTATGTGTGTGTTATGGGGCTATCTATGCTCTGGGTAATTATTCTGTTCAATTTAAGGATATCTAATACTATTTAAATTTTTAGTTGGATTCTGATTGCTTTAAAAATTTTCCTTCCTTCTCATAGAAACTTGTATCCTCTCAGCTTTATAAATTCTTTTTTTTTTTTTTTTTTAATTTTTTAAATTCTCACCCGAGGACACTTTTTTTCCATTTTTTGTTCAGACAAAATGGGAGGGAGAGAGAGAGAGAGAGAGAAACATCAACGTGAAAGGGACACATTGAATGGTTGCCACCCACATGACCCAACCAGGGCCAGGGACAAACTGCAACCGAGGCATGTGCCCTTAGCGGAAACCGAACCCGGGTCTCTCTGGACTGCAGGCCGACGCTCTAACCGCTGATCCATACCGGCCACGGCTTTATAAATTCTTATTCTCAAAATATTATTACTTGGGGAATGTTGTCAAGTGTAGAGTTCTTAGAAAGAGATGGAAATAAAATAGAGATGTCCAATGAAGCACTTTAGCTGATAGTTAAATCTCATGATTAGTATAAGCATTCTGAGTATGCAGAAGTTGTTTCAAAAGATAGTTTTGCAAAAAAAAAAATAGTTTTGTAAAATATCAAATTTCCTATGCAATATGTTGAAGTTTTGTTTTGCTTTATTTTAAATCTCTAGTTGAAAACAGGCAGAGTTAAAAGATCTGAGTTTTTACTCACAGTCAAATTCTAACTTTTCATGTGATCTTAGACAAATAACCCCTCTGTTCCATGTGATAATCATCCATAATATGAAGTTGTCAGATTAGATGTTTTCTAAGTTGTTTTTGATAAATAAGATTCCTTTATCCCAGACAATATTTTTCTGTTTGGTTACAGGTGGATGGGTTGGAGCTGAGATAGGGAATACCATTGAACGATTTGATCCTGATGAAAATAAATGGGAAGTAGTTGGCATCATGGCTATGTCACGTTACTACTTTGGCTGTTGTGAAATGCAAGGTAATTGCTATATAAAATATTTTCCTGAAAATACATATTTATAAAAACTGAGCTTGAGGCTTTATTTACACAAGAGATTTTATATATATCTATATATCTATATATCTATCTCTCTCTCTCTATATATATATATACACACACACATATATATGTATGTATGTATATATATGTGTGTGTGTGTGTGTGTATTTTTTTTAATCCTCGCCCGAGGATATTTCTCCATTTATCTTCAGATGGAGTGGGAGGGAGGGAGGGAGAGAGAGAAAGAGAAACATCGATGTGAGAGAGACACATTGATTGCCTCCTGCACGTCTCTGACCAGAGCTGGGGACCAAACCGTAACCAAGGTACGTGCCCTTGATCAGAATCGAACCCGTGACTCTTTGGTCCGCAGGCCTATGCTCTAACTGCTGAGCCAAACTGGCCAGGGCACCTCTTACATATTTTATCTTCTTATTTCTTTATTTCTGTATTGTCGAAATAATCTACATTTTCCCAAAATAAAGCTAGAATTTAAAATTCCAGATAGGCGCCCTGGCCAGTTTGGCTCAGCAGTTAGAGTGTCGGCCTGCGGTCCAGAGAGAGACCTGGGTTCAGTTCCTGCTAAGGGCACGTACCTCGGTTGCAGTTTGTCCCTGGGTCGTGCGGGTGGCAACCACTCAGTGTGTCCCTTTCATGTTGATGCTTCTCTCTCCCTCTCTCCTTCCCACTCTATCTGAACGAAAATTGGAAAAATGTCTGCAGATGAGGATTAAAAAAATAATAATAAAATTTTAAAAAAAATTCCAGATAGGCAGAAATACTTGACTAGCAAAATAAGCATTTAAACTGTCATTCTTTAGTTATTTTCTCTCCTGTGCAGGCTTTAATAAGTATTTCTAAGTAGGGAGAGTATATCAAAAACAATCTTCACAGTCTCTTTTTATAGGCTTCTTCAGTGTTTTTTAAAGGCTACATTGTGATTCAGTCCACACAAAATATAATGCTACAGTAGATTTGAAAAATGTTGTACTAAATATTAAAATGGTGTACAGACGTTATTTTAATTGTCCACTATACCCTGAGAAGTAGTAAGCACTGTCAAATAAAATCTGATTCTCTGTTCAGAGTTGGAGAGCAAATTTTTTTTTTCTTTATTGATTTTATAGAGGAAGGGAGAGGGAGAGAGAGATAGAAGCATCAGTGAGAGAGAACATCAATTGGCCACCTCCTGCATACCCCCCACTGGGGATTTGGCCCACAACCTGGGCATGTGCCCTGACCAGGAATCGAACCAGTTAACTCCTAGTGCGTAGGTTGATGCTCAACCACTGAGCCACACTGGCTGGGCTGGAGAGCAAATTTATATGTACCTGCAGAGTAGGAAGCAGTCTGCTTATTGTTATATGACAACTCAGCCTGCTTTGTTCTCAGCTCAAGTTCTTTCTTCTTTGTGAGGACTTTCTCAGATTTCCACTACATTTAAATATTCAAAGTACATGGTGCAGACTATATTCTGTTAATTAATGTTGTAATTTCTCTAGTTGTTTTATATTTATTATTTTTATCTTCCCATCTAAAATCAGAGCTAGTGCGGCATCTTGGAGATTATCTATTTCAACCCCTTTATTTATAAACGGGGAAGCTGAAGATTAGGAAGGTTGTGAGTTTGTCTTTTTTCATAGCTGGTTATTGGCATAGCTGGAGCTAGAACCCAAGTATATTGACTTTCAGCTCACATTTCTTAAAATGCCATTAAAGTGAAGAGTTATAATCTATAACCTATAACTCCTCACTTTATTTTATTTAAAAAAACATTTTGTTTTCTTTATTGATTTTAGAGAGGGAGGAAGCAAGAGGGAGAAAGAGAGAGAAACATCGATGAGAGAGAACATCAACTGGCCGCCTCCTGCATGCCCCTCACCAGGGACTGGGCCCACAGACTGGGCATGTATCCTGACCGGGAATCAAACCGGTGACCTCTTGGCGCAAGGGTCAACGCTCAACCACTGAGCCACACTGGCCAGACTATAACTCCTCATTTTAGAACACGGGAAACACAATCTGCACTCAAAAATAATTATAGATTGTCAGTACCATTAGTTTCAATCAAATTAAAAAATGAACTCTCTGTGAATTACATTCTATTAAACTCTAATGATTGATCTGATATCCTAATCTAGCCATATAACTATTATAATTTAAATTCAGTTATCTATTTTATGTCCATCTGAACAATAGGTAAGCTGTCACCAAACATGTTCATGTCCTTTTTTACCTATACGTGGTAGCAGTGCACCTGGGACTTGAGATCATCAAGCAGATAACAAGATGGAAAATCCTTGTCTGACATTTATTTTGTTATAGCATCATTAGGTTCTTTGAAAATTTAATTTCACTGTATTTTTTTATTTCATGTATTTATTTATTTTATCAGATAGAGCAGGAGGGAGAGAGGAAGGAAGAGAGAGAGAAAAACATCGAAGTGAGAGAGACACACATCAAGTGGTCGCCACCCACAAGACCCCAACTGGAGCCGGGGACAAACTGCAACTGAGGTACGTGCCCTTAGCAGAAACTGAACCCAGGACTTTCTGGTCTGTGGGCCCACGCTCCAACCCCTGAGCCAAACCAGCCAGGGCTAATCCCACTTTAAATTCATACCCCTAATTCTTTTTTTTTTTTTTTTTTGTACGTGCCCTTAGTGGGAACCAAACCCAGGACTCTGGTCCACAGGCCGACGCTCCACCTGCTGAGCCAAACCAGCCAGGGCCATACCCCTAATTCTTTGTAACACGCTTAAATGTGAGCTATGATAAACTAGACAGAAGTCTATTTTCTCTTAAAAAATTGGTAAGCTGTGGCCAGTATGCTTATTGGTTAGAGCGTTGGCCCATGGACTGAAGGGTCACGGGTTTGATTCCTGGTCATGGGCACATACCTAGGTTGCAGGTTCAATCCCTAGTCCTGGTCAGGGTCATGCAGGAGGCAACAAATCAATGTGTCCCTCTCACATCAATGTTTCTCTCTCTCTCTCACCTTCCCTTTCTTCCACTCTATCTAAAAATAAGTGGAAAAATATCCTCAAGTGAGGATTAAGAACAACAAAAAATTGGTAAGCCCTACATTAAATATAACATCAGCATGGCAAACTGAAGTCACAACAGTGACTTTTGCTAATTATTGTATCCTATTTTCTATAGCATCTGAGCAAAAATTTTCCATTTCCAGGTTTAATTTATGTGATTGGTGGCATCAGCAATGAAGGAACAGAACTTCGTTCTTTTGAAGTTTATGATCCATTTTCCAAGCGTTGGTCTCCACTTCCTCCAATGGGAACCAGAAGAGCATATCTTGGAGTGGCTGCACTCAATGACTGCATCTATTCTATTGGAGGGTGGAATGAGACGCAAGATGCTCTAAATACTGTAGAAAAATATTGCTTTGAAGAGGTAGGTTGGATGATTTGAAATATTTAGTATCCTGTTATTATTTTAATGTCTTTAAGATTTGTAGTGATGTACATTCTTTCAATTATATTGATTATTTGTAAGTTTTCTTCTCTTTTCAAAAACTAACTTTTGGTATCATTCTTTTTTTTCCCTACTGATTGTCCACCTTCTATTTCATTAATTTCTGTACCTATTTTTTTTGCGGGTTTTTTTGATTGTTTGTTTTTTATTGTTTGTTTGTTTGTTTTTATTCTCACCTGATGACATTTTTCCATATTTTGTTCAGATGGGGGGTGGGGAGAAGCATTGATGTGAAAGGGACACATCGAGTGGTTGCCACCTGCAATGACCCAACCAGGGCTGGGGACAAACTGCAACCGAGGTAGGTTCCCTTAGCGGGAACCGAACCCGGGTCTCTCTGGACCGCAGGCCGACGCTCTAACCGCTGAGCCAAACAGGCCAGGGCTCTTTCGGGTTTAATTTGCCCTTTTTTTCTAGAATCTTAAAGTGGAGGCTTATATGATTGACTTTTAGACTTTTCTTTTTCTATAATATAAACCTTTAAAGCTATAAATTGTTTTCAAGCACTTCTGTAACTGCACCCCACACGTTTTGAAATCTTTTGTTTTAATTAGTATTTATCTCAGTATATCTTCTATTTTTCCTGGTAATTTCTTCTTTGACCAATGAGTTGTTAGAAGTATGTTATTTAATTTTCAAATATTTGGGGATTTTCCAGATACCTTTGTGTTTTTTATTTTATTTTATTTTTTTTAATCCTCAACCGAGGATATATTTTTTTTACATTTATCTTCAGATAGAGTGGGAGGGAGGCTGGGAGGAGGAGAGAGAGAGAAAGAGAGAGAGAAACATCAATGTGAGAGAAGCACATCAATTGGTTGCCACCTGCACAACCCCCAGTTGGGGCAAGGGACTAACTGCAACCGAGGTATATGCCCTTGGCTGGAATCGAACTGGGACTCTTTGGTCCATAGGCCAACACTCTAACCACTGAGCAAAACCTGCCAGGGCTACCTTTGTGTTATTTCTAATTTAATTTTGTTATCAAAGAGCATACTTTGTATGATTCCTGTCTTGGTAAATGTTTCATGTGCACCTGAAGAGAATTTGTATTCTGTTGTTGTTGAGTGTAGTGTTCTATAAATGTCAGTTAAGTCAAGTTGATTAGTGTTGTTCAGGTCTTCACCAAGTATTTCCAACTTGTCTAATTGTTTTGTAAATTACTAGGTGAGAAATGTTGAAATCTCCACCTATAATTATGGATTTGTCTGTTTTTCCTTTCATTTCTGTCAGGTTTTGCTTTACATTTTGTTTTTTTGTGTTTTTTTTATCCTCACCCGAGGACATTTTTCCATTTTTTATTCAGATAGAGTGGGAGAGAGAGAGAGAGAAACATCGATGTGAAAGGGACACATAGAGTGGCTGCCACCTTCACGACCCAACCAGGGCTGGGGACAAACTGCAACCGAAGTACATGCCCTTAGTGGGAACTGAACCCGGGTCTCTCTGGACCACAGACCAGCGCTCTAACCGCTGAACCAAACTGGCCAGGGAGCTTTATATTTTGAATATCTGTTATTAAGTCTATACACATGGAGATTATTATGTCTTCTTGATGAATTGATCTTTTTATAGTATGAAATTATTTTCTTTTTTAAATTTTTTATCGATTTTTAGAGAGAGACAGACATACAGAAACATCGATGAGAGAGAACATCAATTGGCCACCTCTCGCATGCCCCCCATTGGGGATTGGGCCCAGAACCTGGGCTTGTGCCCTGACTGGGAATCAAACCCATGACCTCTTGGTGCACGAGTCAGTGCTCAACCACTGACCCACACGAGCTGGGCTGAAATGTTTTTCTTTACCTCTGGTAATAAACTTTGTTTTGAAGTCTACTTTGTCTAATATTAATGCAGCCATTAACATAGCCAAGTTAAGTGTTTTCTTTTTTTTGTTTGTTTGTATTTATTTTATAGAGAGAGGAAGGGAGAGGGAGAGAGAGAGAAATATTCATTGGCTGCCTCCTGCATGAGTCCTACTGGGGAGTGAGCCTGAAACCCAGGCATGTGCCTGACCAGGAATCAAACTGGTGACCTCTTGGTGTGTGGGAGGACATCCAACTAATTGAGCCAAACTGGCCAAGCACCAAGTTATGTTTGTTTGTTTTTTTAATCCTCACTCGAGGACATTTTTGCATTTATCTTCAGATAGAGCGGGAAGGAAAGAGGGAGGAAGAGAGAGATAAGCATCGATGTGAGAGAGACACATCAACTGGCTGCCACCCACACAACCCCATGGGGCTGGGGACAAATAGCAACCGAGGTACGTGCCCTCAGTGGGAACCAATCCCGGGTTTCTGGTTCGCAGACCGATGTTCTAACCGCTGAGCCAAAACCGGCCAGGGCCCAAGTTATGTTTTGATTAATATTTGCATGGTATATCTTTTTTTTCCTTCCTTTTTTTTTAAACGTATCTTTATTGTTGAATGTATTACAGATGTCTCCCCTCTTTTTCCCCATTGACCCCTTTCTCCCTAATCCCACCCCCCCTCTTGCCTCCTCCCACTAATGTCAGTGTCCATTGGTTATGCATATATGCATAGAAGTTCTTTGGTTTATCACATCCCACCCTCCCTCTCCCCTTCCCTTTGAGGTTCATCATTCTAACAACCAATTTGTACTTCTTAATTCCTTCATCTTTTTCACCCATTCCCCCAGCCCCCTTCCATCTGGCAAGCAACAAAAAGTTCTCTGTATCTATGAGTCTGTTTCTGTTCTGCCTGCTCATTTTGTTTGTAGATTCAGTTTTTGATAGATATGTATTAATTGACATTTTGTTGTTCATATTTTTGTTCTTCTCCTCCTTCAAGACAACCTGTCAACATTTCATATAATACTGGTTTGGTGGATGAACTCCTTAGCTTTTTCTTGTCTGGGAAACTCTTTATATGACCATCAATTCTAAATGATAGCTTTGCAGGATAGAGTAATCTTGGTTGTAGGTTCTTGCTTTTCATCAACTTGAATATCTCTTGCCACTCCTTTCCAGCCTGCAAAGTTTCTTTTGAGAACTCACCTGACAGTCTTACGGGAGCTCCTTTGTAGGTAACAAACTGCTTTTCTCTTCTTACTTTTAAGATTCTCTCTTTGTCTTTAACCTTTGGCATTTTGATGATGATCTATCTTGGTATGGATCTCTTTGGGTTCATCTTGTTTGGGACTCTCTGTGCTTCCTGGACTTGTATGTCTGTTTCTTTCACCAAGTTAGGGAAGTTTTCTGTCATTAGTTTTTCAAATAGGTTGTCAATTTCTTGTGTGCTCTCTTCTCCTCTGACACCCCTATGCTGCGAATGTTGGTACCCTTGAAGTTGTCCCAGAGGCTCCTTACCTGTCCTCATTTTTTTGGGATTCTTTTTGTTTTACTGTCCCGATTGGGTGTTTTTAGCTTCCTTATATTCCACATCGATGGTTTGCTTCTTGGCTTTACCTGCTCTATTATTGATTCCCTGTAAATTATTATTTATTTCAGTTAGTGCATCCTTCATTTCTGTCTGGTCTTTTTTATTTTTATTTTTATTTTTTTTCGTCACTTGAGGACATTTTTTCATTTTTTGTTCAGATAGAGTGGGAGGGAGAGAGAGGAAGAGAGAGAGAGAGAAACATCGACGTGAAAGGGACACATCGAGTGGCTGCCACCCACACGACCAACCAGGGCTGGGAACAAACTGCAATCGAGGTTCGCGCCCTTAGCGGGAACCAAACCCGGGTCTCTCTGGACCACAGGCCGATGCTCTAACCGCTGAGCCAAATTGGCCAAGGCTGACTGGTCTTTTTTATGTTGTTGATGTTCTCACTAAGTTCCTTGGAGTTCTCCTTAAGTTCCTTGAAGGTCTCACTAAACTCCTTGAATGTCCTTATGTGTCCTTATACCGAATGTTTTGAACTCTGCATCTGACTGATTGCTTATCTCCATGTTGTTTAGTTCTTTTCCTGGAGTTTTGTTCTTTTCTTTCATATGGGACATGTTTCTTTGTCTCCTCATTTTGGCTGCTTCCCTGGGATTGTTTCTATGTATTTGGTAGAGTTGCTATGTCTTCTAGGCTTCATAGGGTAGCCTATTGTTGTAGGTGTTCAATAGGATCCAGTGGCACAGCCTCCCTAATCACCCCAGCTGGGCCATTGAGGTGCACCCCTAGAGTGGACTGTACACTCTTCTGTTGTAATTGAGTCTTTTTTTATACTTTTTTTTTTTTATCCTCACCCGAGGACATTTTTCCATTTTTTGTTCAGATAGAGTGGGAGGAAGAGGAAGAGAGAGAGAGAAACATTGATGTGAAAGAGACACATCAAGTGGCTGCCACCCGCACAACCAACCAGGGCCGGGGACAAACAAACTGCAACTGAGGTACATGCCCTCAGTGGGAACCGAACCCGGGTCTCTCTGGACCGCAGGTCGACGTTCTAACCGCTGAGCCAAACTGGCCAGGGCTGTAATTGAGTCTTGATTGTTGTTTGCATGTCAATGGGAGGGATTTACTCAGACTGATCAGCTGCAAGTACTAGCTGTGCCCACTGACCACCAGCCTCTGACTACTTTGGAGGATCAGCTGTGTAGGGGCCCACCACACAGAGCAAGACTTACTTCAGCAGGGCTCTGGTACCCACTGAGTTCACTCATTGAATGTGTTACTTGTGGAGGTGGTGTTTCGATGTGGTCTGAAGCTGTCCACAGGGTGTGCTGGCTCTGGGGTAAGGTCAGCCACTGCCTGTGTGCTATCTGGGGCCACCCGGCACGAGCTACAAAGTGATCTGCCGATGGCTGCTCTTGTGCTGGGCTTGGAGGAGCCCAGGAAAAGCCAAGTTGTGAACCAAGGCTGGCTGCTTCTAGTGCCAGGTCTGGGGCCACTTAATTAGAGGTATGGGGCTCGCTGAGACTAGATGCTGCTTGTTTGTGAGATTGTAGGAAAATCTGAAGC